TTAAAAAAAAAAAAAAATTTTCTCAGAAAAAAATAACAATTAAACGACAATATTAAAATGTTGGTATGTATAAACCAGAGAATAAATGTTAAGCGAAGAATGTTAAAATATTTGGTAATAAGAAATCAGAAAACAATTTCGTTAAACAAAAATCGATTTACAATACTTGCTTATCGATTGAATTCGGTTATATTAGTGAATTAATGTAAGCAAGCCGAACAGTAAAGAATATTTTTACTCTTAATAAATAAATATTTATATTTCCACAGGTAAAATGGGTTGGAGGCACATACAGATTTTGATGTTATTTTTTGGCATGGCCTTGGGATATATAATACGTACATGCGTGTCGGTGGCTGTGGTTGCCATTCGTCAGGTAAGTTTTCAATTATTGAGTTAAAATTATCAATTTCATTACGTTTTGTATCAATTTTTGAATTTGTACTAAGTAATTTTTTGAAATTATCAATACAGGAGTATGAGTGGAAAGATGGTGAGGATATGCTGGTTTTAATATTCTTCTTCATAGGATATATAATTGGAATGATGCCAAGCGGTTATCTCGTGGGCGTTTGGAGTGCTCACAAAATCCTGACCTTCAGCATATTGTTGAGTTCAGCGTTGCATACATTGGGACCATTTGTAGCTCAGTACGGTTACATAGTTTTTATGTGCAATCGATTTATCGTAGGTGCAACACAAGGTTGTCTAGTGCCGTCGGTCTATACACTACTGTCTCGCTGGGTACCACCGTTAGAAAGAGCACGGCTGGGTAAGTCTTCTCATTATTACTTCTTTTTATTTTATCAAGCATACGATGAAACAAAATTTTAGGAAGTTTTGTGATGAATGGACCTCAGTTTGGTACCATTATTGGCATGTTAGTTTCTGGATTTTTGGCATCCTCACCTTTAGGTTGGCATAGTGTTTTTTATATTTTTGGCATAATTGGAGTCATCTGGAGTATTATATTTTTCTTCGTGGCTGCTGATTCTCCGTCTAGTCATTCAAGAATCAAACCCAAGGAAGCTACCTACATTAATGGTAGTCTTGGAAATTTGGATAAAGCTGGCAAGGCCGAGGTTGTATGAGTTAAATTTGTTTTTTCCTGTTTCTATGTAATTGTTTCACAATGTACTAACGAGATATTATTCTATGTTGATTTTCAGAAACTTCCGATACCCTGGAAAGCCATATTAACCTCTAAACCACTGATTGCCTTACTAATAGTGCACTGTGGCTACAATTGGGGTCTTTACGTTTTTTTTACTGTCTTGCCTACCTACATGGATTCTGTTCTGGGCTTCAGTATTTTACAAGTTAGTGGTTTAAAAACTGTGTGATTTTTCTACAGCAATTATTGTATTATCGATGCAATAACGTCAATTACGATTATTCAAGATGACATAAGTATCTTATGAATTTTTTTCACGGGACCTTTACAAGACATGCGATTAAGAGTATCGTACAATATTGGTTATTTTATAATGTTGATAGGGTGGTGGTTTATCATCTTTGCCTTACGTGGCCATGTGGATTCTGGGATTTCCGATTGGTTACGCATCAGATTGGGCCCTCAGTAAGGGATACAAAGTCGTTACTGTGCGTAAAATCGCCAACTCTTTGGGGTTATGGATACCTACTGCAGCCGTAATTTTGATGTGTACGATACCCACTAGTTGTTCGGCCCTGCTAGTTGTGATAATTACAATCGGCGTTGGCTTCAATAGCGGAGTTACATCTGGCTTTCAGATCAATCACATAGATCTGGTATTTATTAGTTTAATTATACATTGTACGGATTTTTGGCATCTAATTTTATCAGTGCTTTTAAAAATAACGTATTGTTGATGAGAATTGTTTTTCACTTGTGTGTTATTTAATTTTTATAGAGTCCAAATTTCGCTGGGACAATGATGTCCATCACAAATTTATCAGCTAACATTATGGGTGTTGCCGCTCAATTTGCTTTTAAATACATCGTTACAGGAGACAGGGTACGACTTATTTTTGTTTGATAGACACTGATAAGTAAAGACACTTGAGTTACATCAAGTTGATTGATTAGGCAATGAATTTTCATGTTATATCGAATAATTTTATCAATCTATTGGTATTGAAAAGATTAATCAATAGGATAAAAGCATTGACGTAAAAAAAAAAAAAAAATTGCTTGATAAAATTCAAGTTTATTTTACGTAGTGATTGCAACACTTTTGAAAACATTATTTGTCTGTTCTACCATATAATTCAATTTTATTTACAGAAGGATGTGAGCCAATGGAATACCCTATTTCTGCTTACTGGTGGTATTTACTTCTTATCGAACTTAGTATTTCTATTGCTTGGCGAAGCTCATATTCAACCATGGAATAATCCACCAGGCCAACAGAGGGTTAACAAAAGAGTTTCAATCATCTCAATAACTGGTGAACCCACAACTTTATTTTTACCGGAACAAATCGAGGAAGAAGAAGAATCATCTTGTTGACAAAAAAAAAAAATAATAATAACAAAAAATAGGAAACTGTGTAAATTGATACATCGAGCGTTTTTAATATTTATTTAAAACATTAGTAATTTATTATAATTTAGGGATCATCTATACAATGTTATTTAATTCTCTTGAGTAAGTTTAAAAATAAGGGTAATGCCAACCAAGAGCAATCACACGTTATGTTTTGTTATCGACGCTTGTTGTAGATAATACTTCATTAAAATCTATACTTGTTCATAAACGGTAGATTACGACTTTTGATACATTCATCATCACGATCAGTATCAGAAACAGCGTAACCCTGAAGCCATTTGATAATCGAAAATCTTTTCATAACTGCTAACAATGAAAAATAAGAGCATTAAAAAAAATGATACTGTAATATGTTGTTAAAATTGTACACGATAAGTACATGTTAAGTATAAGTACATGTGTATCTTTCAAATATAATTGTGATTGGAATTATCTTAGAATAAAAAAAATTATCTTAATTACAATTTCCATTAACAGCAGCTTAACGATTTTATAATTTTATTTGTTTTTGTGATAACCGTAGCTAATTTGTAAAAAAACTTTTGTATACATATATACTTTATTATATCGCGTAATTTTTAATTGTTAATCTTGCGAAAGGTTAATCTCATGTCTTAACTGATTATGTTTCTTATCAAAAGCCTGACCTCTTCCTTTGTACTTATTCAAAATCTACTTTATTGTCTTCAATAAAAATTTCAGTGTAACTCTCAATTTTTTCTGATGGATTTTATTTTCACATAGTTGTACGTTATGAACTTCTTGTTATTGAAATGCCGGTATTTAAGTATGACAGGAAATACTGTTGTATTAGATTTTACGTATACAAGGTTTTTACCTATCCTAAATCTCTACCTCTACCATCTTATCCCTTTTTCCTTCGTTCCCCTTCTCGTGCCTCAAGTATGCAAGTCTCTAGTGCATAGTTAACCTCAGATGACTCGATCATCCATTCTACTGGCTACTACTTGTGGGATTCAGCGATATAGCGAGAAATATTTTTTTTTTAACAATAAATTTTGTTCATAGACACATGATCTGTTGAGATCTAGTTAGGGAGCATAATAAGAAAAGTTTTTAGATGTTCTCAACGTTGAGAAATATTTTAATGGTCTTCACATCAACTTCGTCCGGCTAACTTCATTTAAATAAATCAAAAATCAAAATAATCTCCAGGTAGAAAAATACAGTAGATAAATATAAATAATAATAAATATAAAAGTATATTAATTACAAATAGAATTAAAATTTAAAACTTGTCACATTGCCAGTACTATTTTTTTTCAACTAAAAACTTTTTGTACCTTTTATGGTAAAAATGTGCCAATCCGGTTTATTTTTATCTATAAAATCTATGAAACATTACCAAACGCCTTCGAGAAAAATAACTAACATAAATTAAAGAAAGAAATTATAACTGTAGCTCATACTGCAGTGTATATTATATTAAGAGATGTATTAATAAATACAGCGAGGCAAAAAAGCGAGAAATCTCGAATCTTACGCTAGCTTGTCACGCGTATACTCGTATAATTGAATTTACGCACCTCTTACGTGCGTTGTTATTCGTAATAGGCGAATTCCAGATAAACACAAAAAAAATGAGGTATTTCATGTGAACACGGATAAATGTAGACTTTTTAGAAAAACAAAAAACGGACATGATATTTGATTTCTATTGATTTAATCAATAATTGCAAAGTAGTAAGAATTATTGTGCTGGTTATTTATTTACAGTTTAAATTCAAAATTAGCTTGGAAATGGTATTAAAAAAAATTTGCAAGAATCTGCAACATTTTAGAAATACCCCTAATTTTTCATTAACTAATTTACTGACTATTTTTTTCGTACTAATATTTAATATTTTAGGTTCAGAGTCTCCTCAGAGTCTTTAAAAACTAAGTTTGTGAGTAATGAATTATCACATATATTTGGTGGTAATGAATACTTATTAAATCTTTGGTTTTATATATTAACTATTCCTCTATTCATAGTTTACGCTTGATGAACAAGTGGCATTCTAATGCATAAATTTTATTGGAAACAAATATTGTAAGTTTTCAAGATCAGTAACAATAGCTAAATTTAACAAGTAGGTCAACAGATGTCAATTGTATCGAATAGGCAACCAAACGTGGAAAAAAAAAAAAATAAACAAAAAAAAAAAAAAATGAAAAAAAAAACCTAAAAAAATAATGCTAATAGCTTTCATATCTCTGCGAATCGTCCGCGAATCAACGACAAAACCGATCTATAATACGGCACTCATGTCCCGACATTGTAGTCCTAGACGCAGCTGGAATGGCAAAATAGCTCAACGGCCTAGAGCCACCGTATTTAAATACACGCACATAAGCACACATAAATTGCGCACAAGAGAGCACGCTAAACCTATGAGGCACCGTCTCGTGTGCGCGGCTTTATTCGAGAGCATAAAAACTCAGCCGGACTGCAGCAGCCGATCCACAGGATTCTCATTCGTCGACCGGACGCGTTTACACGTGGATGCGTCGTCTACATATACACCAACATCCGCGAAATCCAACCGATTGTGATTTTTAACTGTGATCGCTTCATACTGAGTTCTCAAATTTTTTTTTTTTTTTTTGTTAATTTTGAAAGTGAACGCAGAAGATCGGTAGAGATGTCACACACCGGAAGGAGAGTTTCGAGGGTCTCCCTTGCGGAGAACATGAAGCTGTCCCCGGAGAAACCAAAAGGTAAACTATGTATTAGACATGAGAATTTCTGTTGTGAAAACTAGATTATTTGGAATATTTTTGATAAACGAAGTGTCATTGTGTAAAATTTATTTTCATACCATGGTGAATGTTTTCTTATAGGGATACATTTTGTGCTTCGCATACATTACAATTTATTCATCATCAAACGAAATACTCATTTGTGATTAGATATAATAATATTACAAACGTTTATTAACTGATTATTGTTTTTATCATTTTAAGAATAATTGCATAAGTAATAAAATATATAATACCTCTTGTATACGTTTGCGTAGAGCACAGTCATTGGAAACATTTCTACAACAGTTTGTATTTTCTAGGACAAAAACTTGAGATCGTAGGAAAAAATTTTAGGCAAAAATGTGTTTTTTTTCAAATTTGCTTTACAGTGTATTACAAAACAAATTAAAAAAAAAAATTTTATCTCTCAAAATTGTAAATTTTGCAATTATACAATTTTTCATAAAAAAATTAATAAACACAAAAGCATGGATAAAAGTATGTGAATTTCAGAATTCTATGAAGTAACTATTGTGTAGAGGCGAGACAGTGTAGTTATTGGCCTCATTCATGAAAAAATACGCTCAGGTATATATAACGATAAAAGATAATCCTGCAGATAACCACTATATTATTTGATTAACTCGATGTAAAATTCAAAATATTTGTTAAATAAGATCATTTCTAAGAATACATTCATTGGTTTAATGAAACTAAAAATATGTAATTTAACTCTAATGATGATTATTTGGATCTAATTATAGCAAAAAAGATTTTAATGATCATGTAATTACTATGTCACTTTATTATTTTGCCCCACGATTAACAGCAGACGGTGAAACTGAACTCCAAATATATACACCAAAAATTGGATTCGTTTATGAGCAGTAAAACTTGAAAAGTTTTTTTTCATCCATAGTTGGAAACGTCAAACTTCCTCGAGACCATGAGAGATTGTGGCAATGAAAGAAAAGCTAAACGGAGTCTCTCTATTGCAATCGGTAATACCCGTTTAAATCATACGTGCCGTGGCATTGTTAAAAATAGGCCAATCGGTAAAGGTAACCGCACCACGTGACTTTTCCGAGTATAATAATGAACATTTTTTTCGTTTTGGAATCTCGTGGATTCACGTGGTTGCTTGTTATTGTTTTTGTTCAGGTTTCCAAAACAATAATCGAAACAGCGAATTTGGTACGGTTGTGTTTAATAATGAGATAATACCTCTACGCGCACAGGTAGTGAGGTCAGCCACGCTGGAATGTTGTGATTTTTATGAACGATAACGAACGCACGAACGACTTGTATCTATATATGCGCCACATATACACTTACCTATGAGACTTTTTTTTCGTGCAACTACAACTACCATAACTACCTGTAAGTGGCTATTTACTCGCTCAATTTCGTGTGGAGTTTATCATTTGATTTTTCCACATTTTTTTAAAACTGATATTGTAGGAAAAGTGTACTTATTACAGTTTTTCGTGTCAAAACGTGATTTATCCTATAAGTTATCTACACATTACTCAATCATAGCCATTTCTTATCAGCTTAAAACATGTTTCTCTGGCTTTGGCTTAGATTACTTTTTTTTACGATGGAAGCTAGTAAAATTTTTAATACTCCAGCAGTGTAATATAGATAAATTAAAAAAATTAATGACTTTTAGCAACAAGTTTTACATTTTTCTATATCTCGTATACATTACTACAATTTCGCACTATAGGATTATCTCTGACTCTTTTTTCTGACTAGCCAACTGTTTCATACACTGCTTTCTTTTTATCAGCTATCTCAAAATTAAAAGTTAAATATTAAAAAAAAAAAAAAAAACTGCCATGTCCCTGAAAAATCTCCATGTACCTAATGGTGCTACTCAAGACGCCATGAACAAAAATTAGTTTCGCTGTTAATTTATTATATGGGGAACAAAAAAGGTGGAAAATAAATTAGACAGATAACTAAAGTTTTTTCTCTCTTATTTACAATTGCTTATACATCAACGGTTTTCATAATAGCAATTTTCAGGCAATGGGCATGTTCTAACAGTAGAGTTTAGTGCCATGTATTGTCAAGAAAATAGTATGGTACCGTGATACTATTTAAGTGCCCTTTATAGTAGTAATGTTGCAACTCAGTACTATTTTTGTATGTAGTATGACATGTTTTCAAAATTTCTCAAAATTAATTTTTCAGCTTCAAATTAATTTTTGTTATTTAAAAAGTTGAAATCCACGCCTGTCAGAATTTCATTGAATTTTTAATGAACTTAGACAATTTTTTGTACCTTTAAAAATATTTATTTACCACAGAAAAAGTTTTCATCTACTAAAAACAGAGCTTAGCTAAAAATTAGGAAAAAAAATTTTTATGGTATAGAAGATTCAAAGTCTGTATATATATTTGTGTTATATCTCAGCATTTCTTTTACCAATTTTTTTACTTCTCGAAAATTGAGTTTTTTAATCACTGATAACATTTTATTTGTATTTATTGAAAAAATTATAAAAAAACTACTTTCTTTCTTTTTATTGCATGTCATACAGAACCCAAAATTTTTACTTTTAATTCCTAAAAAGATACAATTGCTTTAATCGTTTTTCAATTATTTAAAGACCGCTACTTTAAGAAAATTTCTATACGTAGAATACTCAATAACACATATATATTTTTACTAAATGCTTGTGACAATAAGAACTTTACTGTAGCAAATCATAAAAAATACTATTACAAAATTAATTAGTCGGTCAGAAAATTTTTTTCAATTTACGATACCAAATGCCCGTACCAAATAATATTTCACAATTTTTAAAGAAAATAGTTAAGGGCTTCTATTTATATTCAGAAAATTAGAGTATTACATTTTAGTGAAATATCCACCAGTTTTTTTTTAGGCTAAAATTACTGTACTTGAACAATTGAAAATAATTTTATTAACAACTATCGGAGAATATTTTTTAAAGAAATAAATACTATTTGAGATTTAAATCTTTTTTAAATTATGTTTTGTATCGATTTAATAACGATTGAAACGATAAAAATTTTTTGAGAAAAAAGGGGAGTGTGTTTTTGATAGTATATGTTATAAAACCTTATGACAAAATTTTAAAAACTATTATTTGTGATTTTGTCATTTAGATTAGTTCAAAGTAGCAGTTATAACAAAATTATCTCCTGAACCATTCGATATATGACTATTTTACTAGACGTTCGTGTACAATTTTTATTTTTGATTCAGATAGCTGATAAAAATACAAAAGTACGTTTATAAACTTGAGATTAAAATTAAAGCAGACCCGTACTAAAATCAAAATTTCAGCTCACTAGAAATAGTGGTAACAACAATTTGATGAAATATTTGTGCTAATTAGGTGGCAGTGTTTTTTTGACTCAAAAACTGTACGTAATTACTTTATTCGAGCTATTTTATAAGCAGTGTAGAGTAGTGACGTATACTTCCTATGTCTATAAAAATTGTGTAATTCTCATTCACGGCAAATTAAATAGGAATTGCGCTCGAGGCATAAGTCAATTTTTGAGTGTTGGAATTTTCAGAGAGAAAATTTTAACATTAAATTACAAAGAAGCCATACGTGCGAATCCAGTGGTCATATTATGTTGATTTAAAACACTAGTAAACACAAAAAACGACAGCACATAATCTTCATTGGATGAAAAAAAAAAAAAAAAAAAAAAACTTCAAATACGATTACAATACACATGACGCGCTCAAAGTGTTCCGCATAGCACATACCTGATCACGTGCGTATGATATGTAAACAACTCCAAGCTCACATACCGCAGACGTTGAAACAAAAAAAATTATCATCACGAGAGCGTAAGTAGTAGAGTTTTTAAAATAGGAGCAATTTTCTGATATCGTACTAGCCGCTCTCTCTCTCTCTCTCTCTCTCTCTCTCTCTCTCTCTTGCTATCTATATCTTAAAAAAAGGTGTTTGGCATGCTCGAGATGCACGCGTCTATATACGTTTGTGCCACGATCTGATCGACACATTTTCCGTCCTCGAGGTCATTGATCAATGCGTACACGTATATATGTATAGATTGTTCGTTTGGAAGCGCGTGGTCATGAAAATAAGGCCGTTATCGCCTTGCCCTCGCTACTGTTTATCGGTTCGACATCATCGATACGTATTTGTGACCCAAAGAAAAAAAAAAAAAAATAATAATTTTGTTTTAATTTGAAAAATGAGGCAACTACAACTACCATAACTACCTGTAAGTGGCTATTTACTCGCTCAATTTCGTGTGGAGTTTATCATTTGATTTTTCCACATTTTTTTAAAACTGATATTGTAGGAAAAGTGTACTTATTACAGTTTTTCGTGTCAAAACGTGATTTATCCTATAAGTTATCTACACATTACTCAATCATAGCCATTTCTTATCAGCTTAAAACATGTTTCTCTGGCTTTGGCTTAGATTACTTTTTTTTACGATGGAAGCTAGTAAAATTTTTAATACTCCAGCAGTGTAATATAGATAAATTAAAAAAATTAATGACTTTTAGCAACAAGTTTTACATTTTTCTATATCTCGTATACATTACTACAATTTCGCACTATAGGATTATCTCTGACTCTTTTTTCTGACTAGCCAACTGTTTCATACACTGCTTTCTTTTTATCAGCTATCTCAAAATTAAAAGTTAAATATTAAAAAAAAAAAAAAAAACTGCCATGTCCCTGAAAAATCTCCATGTACCTAATGGTGCTACTCAAGACGCCATGAACAAAAATTAGTTTCGCTGTTAATTTATTATATGGGGAACAAAAAAGGTGGAAAATAAATTAGACAGATAACTAAAGTTTTTTCTCTCTTATTTACAATTGCTTATACATCAACGGTTTTCATAATAGCAATTTTCAGGCAATGGGCATGTTCTAACAGTAGAGTTTAGTGCCATGTATTGTCAAGAAAATAGTATGGTACCGTGATACTATTTAAGTGCCCTTTATAGTAGTAATGTTGCAACTCAGTACTATTTTTGTATGTAGTATGACATGTTTTCAAAATTTCTCAAAATTAATTTTTCAGCTTCAAATTAATTTTTGTTATTTAAAAAGTTGAAATCCACGCCTGTCAGAATTTCATTGAATTTTTAATGAACTTAGACAATTTTTTGTACCTTTAAAAATATTTATTTACCACAGAAAAAGTTTTCATCTNAAAAAAAAAAAAAAAAAAAAAAAAAAAAAAAAAAAAAAAGGAATAAAAAGGGAAATAAGTAGAAAGCCGTTTAATATGTGTTCACAGCTGCCATTGGAGCTCGGCACATTCAGGCACTCATGATGATGGTAGGATTTCTGTGCTGCTATGCCATGCGGGTGACCATGTCAGTTGCCCTTGTAGTAATGACAGACAAGAAAAAGCCCGAGGTACGCTGAAATTTTGAATAACTCGTCTTTGTGAAATACTAGAAACGGTAGCGAGGATACTCGGGGGATGAGTCACGCTATATATTTCTGAAACTTTTTTTTTTACACGCACGATTTATAAAGTATACTTGATGTAATTATTTTTTATTTACCAATTTTTCTTGTGGTTGCACAATGTCTACAAGGACACGAGCAGCCAACAAGTGGCATGCAACGAAAACAATACATCAAAGTACTGCGGCACACGGATAAATATGTAACAATATTATGTTCCGATTAAAATGTTTAATTCATACCTACATCGTGAAATCTAAAGTAAATATGTTTTCGATCGCAGTAGAGATGTGAGATAATTATGACAGATACCTACCTACATTACATTACACGCATATGCATAACAATTTTAAATGAACAGCGTGTTTTTATCTTGTTAAACAAACAACGTAATCGTAAACAACAATTCCAAGTAGGTAATGATCAACATTCGACAATACGTGGCTCATAACTACTGATCCTCGCGTCGATTCCAGCATGGCACAGTCAAGGACGCCTATAGAGTAAATTAAAACCTCATATTTGCACACTTGCAGTCCTACGACTGGGAAGCCCCGATACCGGGCTTCATCCTGAGCTCCTTCTTCTTTGGCTACGGGATCACGCAGATTCCTGGATCCATGGCGGCGCATCGCTGGGGCGCCGCGCGCTTCCTCGGGCCCATGATCGGTATCTGCGGCCTCGTAACTATCGCGATCCCCGCCGCGGCACGTTACGGCGATTACCCTTTGGTTATAACGTGTCGAGTTCTATCTGGATTCTGCCAGGGGGTCGTGACCCCGACCCTCCACACGCTGTTGGCCAAGTGGACGCCTCTGCCTGAACGGGGACGTTTCAGTGAGTACATAATATTATATTATGCACAGCCCATTGTTAAAAATCCAAAATGTTAATGGCGCTGTGTATACGATTCATTTGGTCCTGCGTTGATTTTCAGCAACCTTTGTCTATTCGGGTGGTTGGGTGGGCAACGTGGCAGCCCTCCAGAGCTCGGGTGTGCTCTCGGCATCGTCGATCGGCTGGCCGAGCTGTTTTTACTTCTGGGGCGGCGCGTCTCTGGTATGGACCGCGGTTTGGTACCTATTCGGCCGGGAGTCGCCTGCCGAGCATCCCAACATACCGCTCGACGAGAAGCTTTACATCGAGAGCAGTCTCGGAGTCGTTGAGACCGATGAGCCGGTTTCGACGCCTTGGAGATCGATACTCACCTCGGTGCCGGTCTGGGCTCTTCTGGTCACCCAGTGCACCCAGGCGTGGGGCTTTTGGATGCTTCTCACAAAAATCCCAGCTTACATGAACGACGTACTCAACTACGACATACTCAGCGTAGGTTGCTCTCCCTCTCTCTCTCTCTCTCTCTCTCTCTCTTTTTGTTTCTACTTGCATTAATTTTTCTCTCACGGCATCATCGTCTTTCGCGTGAAATGAAATTCTTAAAAAATCCTACCACGTTCAAGTATCACAATGACCAACCTCTGGTATACATATAAGGTGTAATTATCCTCGCGACGGGTAACTCATGCAGGATTATGATATGTCACACGTCCAAGTATACATGTTACGTCTTTGAATCATTGATCCGACGTGAGTGTTTTTTGATTTCCCGATCAAACCGCGTGGGTATAATACCGAGTAGATAGTGTAATAATCAAATACTTGCTGGTTAGCACGTTGCCAACCAGCTCACGCATATATTATTATGTGAGCACATTACGTATATATATATATACACACACACACATTAGCGCTGGGTCACGGTCGAGGACAACTTTGGTCGTATACTTGCATCATGACATACTAAATACATGTGTATATACCTATAACTATAAGCAGTAAAAATTGCAATTGAGAATTATTATTATTATACCTTATCTGTTGCAAATGAATAAGTAATTGAACTTTGATGTGCCTTAAATATGATATTCATCAAGCATGAAGACCACAACATGCATAGTACAAGTTGAGAAAGAATTTCGCTTGTCTACAATAAATAACTAGGCGGTACAACTTATGTGACGCAGCGCACTCGTACTCTCGACAATGATTAAATATATTATCGACTTATAAATATGCTCCTGCAATGAACTCCAGAACGGTTTCATGTCGTCACTGCCGTACCTGACTGCCTGGCTGGTCAGCTTTCCCGTGAGCATAGTCTCAGACTGGGCCATACGCACGGGCAAGGTGAGCACGCGCGCCTCGCGCTTCTTCTGCAACACCTTCGGGGAAATCCTGCCAGCCGCGGCACTTGTTTGTCTGGCCTTTGTCGAGAACGACCAGATCTTGGCCGTGGTCATACTTATTATCGCCGTTGCTTGCAACATAGCCGTCTACTGTGGCCACCATGCCAATCACATGGGTAATGTACACTACTATATTGTCATGTTCGCCCCCTTTTTTTTTTGCTTAATTTTTTTTCAAAACCAATTTTCCATACATTTTCCAAATTGACTTTGATGTTACTTTCAATCGTTAGATTTGTCGCCGAACTTTGCCGGTCCACTCATGGGACTCACCAATGCCGCAGCTACGCTCTGCAGTATACTTGCGCCAATCGCTCATGACTTTATTGTCACGGAAAAGGTGAGCAGTGACCCCTAAATTATACACACTACTTGCTACCGATGAATCTTACGGTGCGATTTTGGTATTTTTTGTTTTGCAGACTAGTTTATCCCAATGGAGGACGATTTTCTTCATGACGGCGGTGTTTTACATCATCGGGGCGAATGTATTCGTGTTCTGCGGATCTGTCAAGACGCAGCCATGGAACGACCCGATAAAAACGAGAAAGAACAGTAGGACGTACGGGATCCCGGAAGTTATTGGCTCGGAGTTGCCAAAGGAGTTGAAAAAGATCAACGAAATCAAGGAGGAAGTCAGCGACGAGAAGGAAGAAAAAATCGAGAGATGAACCACAATACGGGATTCACGTGAATCGAACTAATATTACATTTTTCATACAAGCATTTAAACCACTCCACATGTGAAATATGAATCGTGAATACATTCCAAACCTATTAGAACATAAGATCTTATCGTTTAAGGCAGTATGTAATAGTCATGTAAGGAGAAAATGATGTTGTGATATATGTAAGAGTCCTTACAGGTTTAAGATTGTTGATGCAAATGGAATGTTGTTCAAGAAAATTGAACGAACGTAAGTCACACAAAATAAAATTGCGTGAGTTACATTACGTACGCATGCACGAGTGCACTTAAAAAAAAACAAAAACCAAAATAGTTAATTGCAAAAATGGAAACCTCAGCTCGGTTATGTAGCCTATGTCAAAAAAAAAAAAAAAAAAAAAAAAAAAAACACGCATACTTACACTCACTTGGCTGTCTATATTATATACATGTACGGGGTCAGGTCGGTCAGGATCTGGAGGCCACCCTTAGCACACAGGTAACACGTATGTATGTGTATACCGGTGAATAATGAACATTGAACAAGTGAACACGGTTACACAGACTCGTTCTCGTGTGTTTGTATAATATCGCGCGGTGCGGCCTGCTAGTAAAAACAACAAATTAAGATGTATCTCTGAAATTAAAAAAAAAAAATAATAATAATAATCCTATTAGAAAATTCATTACAGTATTCGTAACGCTAATTTTGTTTTATTTTCATGAAGGTGCTAAGAAAGTTTGTGAAGAATATTTAATGAATAAAAAAAATGGCAATGTTGATAATCTACAAAATATCGAAATGTTTAATTTAATTTTACCAAGCCACAGAATACAAATGTACTTTTTATTTAAACAGAAACTTCAATCACTCAGTCTTTTTATTTCTAAATAACAGGTTTAACTTAAAGGCTTTGTAAAGCTTTTAAGTAGCTCTCTGAAATGTACACTCTAATCTCAAAAGTATTAGCAATTTCGCAATACCCATGAAGAATCTTTGTTTGCTGGAAATAATGCTGTACTAACGCTGACGGTTGCATACGCATAGGCGCATACAATGTGTGCCACCACCGCGCTGGCTCAGTATGACGTGAGTTGTTTCAATCGAGGAAGGTGACTCCTTGTACAAACTCTGTAGGTACAGTATTTTTTAGAAACTTTTATGAAGATATTTATTAAGTTTGTCGTTAATAAAGCTCTTCAGCGTATATTCAGACCAACAAAATATTTTAATAAACCTACGAGTTCTACATTTGTATTATAATTATGTTTTTTGCACATTAATTATGCTTCTACCACATTATCACTTATTATTGATATCGATATGAACAAGCTTGCGTCAAATCAACATAGACTTCTCAGGCATTTTTCTTATAGATTATATATGCCAATGCACAGATTTGATCATGATTGTGCTGATTAAATAATGCCTAAAACTGAATTATGATAGTATTAGTTATTTAAAGCTGTATAATAATAATATACAGTGGTATAATTTTAAATTATTTATATATTATAAATTAAATTATACAACTTTACGTCACATTAATAAATAAAACACATCAATTGATCTAAAACACTTATAAGATGCATCATTAGTATAACTCAAAAATGTTTGATAAACATATTTTAAATGTTTGTTTTAGTTACACAGGTTTATTTATTTTTGGTTAAAGTATTATATTTGAAATAGTTTTATGAAATGCTCTTGCATCCTTCTAATTAATTTTAAATACTTCGACTGTAGTTATTTTATGGTAAATTTGATGTTTTAATTGTTATCACTAGTAACTATAATTTTAAAAAGTTGTTATTTTATCTGAAATAGTATTTGATTATTCTGCTAAATATAATACTATTATGGTCAAAGTCAATCAGTGTTATTATCTTTTTCAATATTAATGATTTAACTTGAGTCTAGGAAATATTAAAGAAGTGAAATCGAACATCTATAGCTTTGAGTGCTTGACAAACTTTTAAATAGTTCTGCCACAATATTTAAGAATAAAAATGAAGTAATGATAATTGAATAAAAAATGTTATAGAACAATAAGAAAATCATATAAGTAATATGCATTTTGTAATAATATCGTCGATCTTTTTGGTTATTAAATGTATTTCTCCCATTTTCGAATTATTTTACCATTTACTATACACAAGGTGATAAAATCTCAAACAAACTTTTACAAACTATATATATATGTACAATATTTTTTTTAGAAAATTTTGTGCAGACATTATTGAATTTTTAAATTTACTTATTGCTTATGATAATGCGTGGATTATTGTTATTAAATAGTTATATCACAAGAATGAGGTACGTTCAATGTACAATAAATCGAGAAGTGTCAACCTATAAATATTATTTACAAAAATAAAGACAATGTGCTGACTTTTCGAAAATTCAAAGATTGTTCTTTGCTAATAAATTTAACTGTCCTTGATTTTTTTCTCTGAAGGTACTTTGAAAGATTTGTGGATCGACCAAAGAACGTAAGCACCACCCAAAAGAGTTACAAGCATTGTAACACCTGTCACTACATATTTTCTAGACGTGTTACCAGCCGGTATTTTCCAAACAAAACCACGATCACCTTCCTGATAAAAACACAATATCAATAAATACGTTTACTCTCTCCATAGGAAAGGGAAATTTACTGAAGATTAATGATGGGAAATATAACAGCAATCGATGAGAGGAAAATTAAAAAAACTGTTAAAGTATTCTCTTAAAGTACGTGTGAAAAAGATGTACTGCTCACCCAGACATAAAAAACGTCCCTCCACTTCTTGACAAGATCAATACATGGCCAGCCTATTCTAATCTTGGAAACACGATGCTCTTTTATTCTATCTTTACATCCTATGAATAAAAGAGGTCGAGGTATTGACACGTGAATTGGTTGGCCAGTATCAGTGGAAAATCTGTAACGCTGGTGAATTGGAACTGAAAGAGTAGTTTTTGTACTTGACAATTTCGAGCAAACAGTGAGGTTCTGGTAATGTGCCTTTTCAGCAAACAATTCAACATCAATTTCTCCCTCAGAGCACGCCATAATCTGTAAAACAATAAGTAAATTGTCAATTTTCTGTTTGAATATTCAATTGACTAAGTATCAGTTAGCACAGTTATTATACTTTGTCAAGACGCCTGAGGTCGGCTAATTCGTCTGCGTTGACGTACAGGAAAGGTGGCAATTGTACAAATACTGCAACGTAGCAACTATCATTCATAAAGGTTCCAGTATCTACATGGTACTTCAATGTCCTAAAAAAAAATTCAATTTTGATTGGAATCTTAGTATGACGTACTTTGTATTTTACCACTGCACTCATCAAATACACAAAGCTATTTGATACGGTACGTGTATCAACACAATTTAAACACTGTAAAGTCACATACAATTGCAAACCAGATAAAAAATCATCCAAAACAAAAAATAAACAAGTGAGAGCAATCTAACCTATGAAATCCTTCACCCTCGACTTCGGACCTAATGCTAGCAGTTATGGCAGTGACGGACTGCAGAAAACTTAATAGTACAATCACGTGGACAATTTTCTTGACAATGGGAATTGAAATGCGTTTGATCACAGTCATTATTAACGAAATTTCGGTGTCTCTCGCTGCAAAGATAAGTTTATAAACAAGGGAGAGACTCCGAGAGTGTGAGCGCGATGTCATATATTTTGTTTGTGTTTTGTGTGTCTGGTTGTGATTCCCCTTTCTGCTGTGCTGTAAGGATTTGCCGTAAGGTGGCTCTGTTGTTACTTTCGAATATTTCGAATTATTGTAAATTTTAGCATTCAACTAACGCAAGATTTTTAACTATTTTAAGACGATTTAAAAAGTACACTTGTTCAGTAGAGTTACAACTGTATACTGAATTTTTGTATTCATTTTTTACGTCCAAACACTAAAGATAATATTCCCCAGTTTTTCAATATTTCTTTGAATTTTTTTTTTTTTTCTTTAAATCGTATAAATTATCTTACCAAAATATTTAGTTGTAACAGCCTAAATAAATGCAGTAAATATTTCCAACTCTGCTCAATAAAATGTAATTATTTTTAAGCAGATTAAATGTCATTGAAACAGTAAAAAAAAGATTTAAAAAAATCTCTAGAAATCCCATATACATCCTAGTCCAAATTCCAGCTGTCAGTACGTGTTAATTTGATTATTCTTCGGGTTTTACGACTAGGATTTTCATTTCAGTGGGTATGTGTTCACTAAAAAATAAAATTTGTGAAATAACGGGCACCCTCGCGTATGTACCAAGTTACCAACGCATAGGTATATACCTGCATGCGTGTGAGGTAATTCTTTCTCTCGTTCTTCTGTACCATTGTCCCTGGGACACGAAAATAGCAAGCACGCTGGGGCCTCGAAAACGAGCGTTGGTGGCTAAATCGTGGAAAGGAGTCAGTGAGAGCCGCAGTCAAGGCGAGTAAAGAAAAAAAAAAAAAAAAATAAGATTGACAGCCACACCAAGGAGAAGGAGGTAACATCATTGCATTGTACTCTTTTTTATTACGTGATACGTGATACAGGAGTAGCCGATCGCTTATTTAATCGCTACATAATTATGCACTTGACGATGCTAATTAATATTGGCTATACGTTATACGCGTGGGTGTTAAAATAAACACATTATTGAATGAAACGCGAGTAATCGATTTTTGTATATTGCTTGTTATTATAATATGTATATGCGCTCACAGTGATGGTTGCGCCAGCAGTTGGTTTTTGACGAAATTTTTACTTTTTATTTCGAATTGAAAATATAGTCATTAGATTCCAACGGAGGGGTATTTTTATCTTTTCTCTCTCTGCTTGCTAAGCCGAGCCGAGAGAGAGAGAGAGAGAGCTTGTGCGTTACGGAATTTTGGAAGCCGGGGGAAAACGTTATTTTATACTTACGTGCCGAGCCGCGTGTGATGTATGTTATTGTTTGCCGGCTGACGGCTCCGAGGGGGATTTGGTTTCTTTTTTCGAATTTTATTTCTGCGGTTAATTAAGTGGATGACCTCTATGGGTGTTGTTTGCAACAATTTTAAAACAAATTTCGTGGATTAAAAAAACTGCTGTGAATTCCTAGTAAGTTTTCTCATTATTATAATTATTAATGCAATTTTTTTTTTTTTTTTTTTTTTTTTTTTTTTTTACGCCAAATCACACTCTTTGTGTGTATTTTTTTTGTTGTGGGTACATATCTTTTTCTGACTAAAAGTTTTTTGCATGGATAATCATTTAAATACGAGGCACTGTGAATTTTTTTTTTTTTTTCAAACTCATTTCACTATTTGTGATTTAGAGTTTTTCTGTCTACCACTTTTTAAAATGCATCACTTTCGAACTACAATAAATAAATGTATTGCATTAAATGCAAAGGAAAAGTTACTGGAAAAACTATTTTAATATTTGTTCAAATACTTTATTACTAGCCGTACTTCCTAAAAACATGGAAACAGTTTGATTGCTGAAAAACTGTTGTTCCTGAATGTTGTTTGTGAATGCATTACGTTTTCTCAACAAAATTATTTCTCAAAGAGTTATGAAATCTGTTAAAAAATAATTATGCCACGCCTGTATTTATTGGATAAAGTAGGAAAAGTTATGACGAATTATTTGGTATTCAATTTTAAAATGTGAATTAATATAATTATTATTGAAATAATTAATTAGCTGCTTTGAATTAACTAGAGTACATTTTTGAGAAAAAAATAAAAAAAATAACTTAAAAAATGGTGCTTTAGAAATATTAAAATCATTTCATGTTATAAATTTGCTTCGAAATATCGTACAGAGTAGTTTAAAAATATAAAATGAAGCGTTGAAAAAGGTTACCAGTGTTAAGTAATGTTAACAGTATAAAAAAATTGTAGATTAAAAAATTTAATGGTAATCGTAAAAAATTGGCTGCTTTGATGTTTGATATAAGAAATCGCTTTTTTTCAACGATATAATTAATTTATTCACTTATTTTTTCATTTTGACACACAGAAAGCTTTTTTTCGAGCCAAGTTATGAAAAAATAACAAAAAAACAGAAGAAGGCCTGAACTACTTGTTTAAAAAATTCTCCTTGCTCCGTATACTGCTTCTCTAACAATAAAAAACGTTTTTTTTCTAAATGGTTACTTGAAAATTTTATCTCCCCGTTGATGAATATGTTATAAATTTATTTCCCTGTAACATGAAAGTAAGTACGAGTATTCATTATTGCACTATTAAATTAATTTAAAAAATTTTTCTATAACTTTACGTTATAATACATATCGACGGCCAGAGACAACATATCGCATCGATTTAAATCCAAAATCTATGAAAATTAAAGAGATGCAATAAAAAAAAGATGTATTTTATACCTCACGCAACATAATTAAAAACAAATGAAATAAAACAGATGCGAGTCTAATCCCAAAAAAAACAGCAACGTATACATTGTAACAAAACGAAATAAAGAGACACACCAGCTATGCTCGTATAAGCGAAAATTCTCTCAATCATTCGCCACGAAAAGAACACTGTTTCTCTCTCTCTCTCTCTCTCTCTCTCTTGGTTGGCAGTTTTAAAAATAGCCACGAGACGTACTCGCTCTCGCTTTTACTCGTACACAGTATATCTTGCTCCTCCACGTTATATAAAAATAAGTGATTAGTGCTTGCCGAGACTTAAGATTTTTTTTCTTGGGCTTGTCTCTAAAGTCAAGACCAAGACTCTCCGAGTCAGTCTTGCCCCGTTGTATTTTTTTTGTTGCGGGCGAGGGGGCGAGAGAAGGGCAATGACTAACGATACTTTTAAAAGCTTTTTCAAGCGATACGCGTATATATATATATATATGCACCATGGACATACAGCACACCCCGATTCATCGGCATTTCGCATTATATATCACACCTGCGTTACTGCACCATTCCATCAAATTCATCAAGTCATCTCGATAAAACGAGACCCGTAAACACATTAAAATACACACATGAATCGGCGTGCGTATGGATTAGATACGTACCTGGGGGCTTCCAAAGTGTGCAAGCCGTATACGCGTGTCGAGGGGCGGGCGCGACGAAACGGGAGACGAGAAAATGAATGAATGGACCAAAAAAGGAGAGACCGCGACGATGACGCGTATACACACGCGCAAAAACATGGTCCATCACATTGGCTACCCCCCCCCCCCCCCTTATAGCCGCTCTTTGCTCCGTGTAGATCTTGGCGACGGATCGCGCTCCCGGAAATTCATATCTACTCCTTAATAAGCGGGTGAGCGCGGTATTAGTATACCTACATGCGTATAGTACGGCGCAGGGCAACCCGCGAGGGGTAAATCTTGCGCGACAGATGAGAGGCGACGGCTGTATACTATTACGTAACTGCAGGCAAGTTGTATGTCACCTCTCCTTCCTCTTCTTCTTTTGTAAGCTCTTGTGCCGCGTACAGTATTGCGATACATCCAAATACATATATACATATATATACGTTACACGCGCTATGTACGTTATACACACGCGCATATATACGTTTATTCAAGGGAGACGCGGAAGTTCCACCAGTTTGGAAATTAAGTAGTAACAGTCAACGACAAGTCGTCCTTGGATTCTCTTGTTACATCCTTAACGGCAAATATTTATGTGTAATTATTTGTTTTTGTTTTTTTTTTTTGTTTTCCACTACTTACTCGTATACTTGGGAAACATCCAGTCAAATAACGTTATTGTGTCGTGGGTTCACAGTTTTTGTACAACCCGACGTGTAAACTTGCCAAGGCCAAAAAAACTCGGGCAGAGATAACATTTTTTTCTTCCATTCACTTGGGATTAAAAATATACTCAAGAAACGCGACTATAATCAAAAATAAAAGCCAAGGATGCACATAACCGCAGGTATAATCGTAGAGTTTTCAGTTCCGCCAACGCATACGTATTACGCACTCACGAGGGATGGAAATGAAAAAAAAAACAAAAAAAAAACAAAAAAAAAAAAAAAAAAAACCGAGTACTCTATTAGCGTCGAATGGGCGGGTATTCGACAAACACGATTAGAGGACAAGTTATTTACTGTACTCGCGAAATTCGCCGTCAAGAGCCCACGCGGACCGCTATGCCACGCTCGTCGCCAGTAGCGTCACGGTAAATCGTTTTACCTTCGAGCAAAATTAAAGGCCGAGGTGAAGGAGATCCGACAAAAAATACTTACGTTACGGGTGCATATGTACATATATTATTACATATACAACCCTCCATCGGATACGTATACGCTGGTGTACAGCGATCGATGGACCAGAAAAAAGGGAAATACCGCGCGCACCTGCTCGTTTCTGTCAATTATTCCGCGTATTATTTTTACCGCCCCTCGTGCCAAATGGGTAAGCATAATGAATGGAAATATATACCGGACACGGTGTTCCGGTCTGCTTCCGAGCGTTGCACCGAGGGACATCGGTGACCTCGACTCGACCTCCGATTCTTACCGCTGATGCCGACAGGTTTTTCATCGTTTCGCCCGAACCAACTGCCCGCGCTCAGCTTGCAAGCTTGGGCATGCCAGGGGTAACCCCAAGTAGGTAACATCGGGATGGTAAACCACGCGATACACGAGATACAATCGCGAACACTTGACAATACAATAAATATGTTGCATTGGACGCGCGATATTCGGGATCGAGAGGAATGATGTATAGCCATGTGAATGGGTAGCGTATAAAGGAATCATCGGTAGCGCGTTGGCCGCTCGGATTTTGTGTCCCTCGGACGACGGCGCGAGTTTACCTCTGCAGCACACACTCCCATGTCCCTCTGCCGTGCCAGAAAGTCACATCCTCTCTCCCTCTGCGTCCGTGTGTCCCAAATATTTGCGCGAGTTAAAAATATGATTCGCGCCTGCGAGTGTGGTGGCCCGTACTCACACGTATATATACCAACCGACTCTCTCTATCTCCGACTGGCAGCTTAGGGAACACACATTGTGCGCAAGTGCATCATCTAGTCTGCAAGAACTTTATGTACGCGTGTAATTTTTTTCTTCTTCCTCTTCTTTGGTTTGTCATTTTTTTGAAAATGTTTGCCGCTGCGGTTAATAAGGTCTGTATGGGTGGAGCAATAAGTGGGTCAATTTTCAGAGAAAAGGAGAAGGGGAAGAACAAGAAAAAGAAAACGAGTCCGAAAGCTCGTCTGCGGTGTTGTCGAAACGAGAGTTCTATAAATGGAACTGTTGGAGCTTTTTCCTTCGTCCGCGTGCGGCTACCGGTCGGTTGACGCTCGCGTTTACGCGCGTAACATAACGGGATGGGGGGTGGCGCTCGTGATATGGAAGCAGCTTGAAAAAGTAAAACTGCGAATTTCCCTCGAAACTCCCAACCCCTCTCTCTTTTTTACGCGTTCCGAAATGTGGATACCGACAATATAAACACGTATATATAGGCGCGAGAGAGGAGCCGCGATGATTTCACGCGTACGTGTATTTTTAAGCTTGAAAAATGGCATCTAGTTCAATGCCGCCCCTAAATCATATAGGATGGTTTTTTTTTTTTTTTTTTTTTTTTCCAATGAAAGCGACCAAGAATTCGTTGGACTCTTCAACCGAGTGAGGGCTCATTTGCACATTGTGTGCAGTATTATGTGCTTATCAAGCTTTCTGTTTTCTCTGGCTCTCCTCTACTCAAGCGCCAAAAATGAATGGCTCAATTAGCTGCGGTAAATTACGTTTTATTCTTGTTTTCGTGCACATTAGCACGCTACCCCACCGGGCTATACATACTATTTTGCACAGCCTACTTTTCTCTTTCTCGAAATAAAGTATGCACGTTACCAAGAATATACCTACACCCCCCCCCTCGCCCCTCTTGCACTTTTATGTTAACAAAGTGCCAAATTTAAAGTGGAAAATTAACTCTTTATCGAGAGTAATTGAGCCGAAGAATAAGCTCGGGAGGGAGAGAGTTGGGCTTGCGCAACGTGTGTACTTTGTTTGTCCGTGTCCGCACCTCAATGGAAAGAAATGTAATTTGGAACGCCCGGACGTTTGGAAGAGTTGTAAGCGTGTATATATGTAACGGTAACGAGACCAAGGGGGAAAAGGTATCGAGCTTATTGTTGGCATGCCAAGCAAACTTCAGGGCGCACACACGCATACGCGAAGCAGAAAGATTTTAATCGCAGCCGTCCGACCATCGCTCGTGTCCCTCCACTTAATTTAAAGCCGTTGTCCGCGAGTTGATTTTTCTTTTTTACTTTTCGTCCCGCGACTCGGTCGTTGGAAGCGCATTGCCGGCACAAGTGTCGCCGCGGAGCCCTGGGCTGCGAGCTCTCTCGCCAGAGAGACCGAAAATTGGGGCTCATCGCATGCCTCTCGCTCTCCTTTCTCCCGCCCCGTCGCTCTATACGCACGTATGAACCGAAGCTCAGACGATGTTGTGAAAAATAAACTTCTTGCGAATCGTTCTTCTAATTTTAGTCGCCCCTTGGTCTTTCTCCCGTTCGGCGCGCATCGACCGGCTTCTCGATTAAAATTTCAAAAACCTATAGTAATGAGCCCGTCACCCGCGCTCCCTCCTCTCTATACATATAGGGCCACCTCTACTTATATCGTCTGGCCACATTGTCGTGTTCGACCCCTTCGAGAGACTAAATACAAAGGCGGCGTTTCGGTGACTTTTTGATAAATGATCCGCACCAAAGCTACCTGCGTTATAATACATACCCTCGCCAGAGGCCATTTTTTTAATGGCCCGAACCCACTCTCTGCGTGTCTATCCTTCTTCTTTTGGTCCAAGCTATTTATTTCACGCGACTGTTGCCAACCAAAAATATACATGTATGCACCAGCGTGGCGCTTCGCTGCACCCCAGGTATTACGTTTTACAGTACATAATATATACATATAGTTGGGGTATTATAATAGGTGTACATCGTAGGTGCGTATAGCCCGCGGTCGGGGTTTCTGGCTGCGGCGCGAGCGACAATAAGCTACTGCCAGGTAGGGATACATTGTCGCTATATGTATTACAGGGGGAGAAAGAGCACGGATAGCGGGTACAATTAGGTCGGCGCCCCCTTCTTCTTCTTCTTCGTCTGGTTCTCTCTGGTCGTCAAAGTATGTGCTATGTATGTAATATACAGCCTCGTGACGCGACACCGCGGCTCTCGTGTCCATCGTTTGCCATCCGATGCTGGTCGTTTTGTCGTCGCCTCTCCCTCCCCACCGGCTATTGTACCTCTCGCATCCCCTTGTAACTTGGCCAAATCGCTAATATACTCGTATACCTACAATACAGCGTATCGGCTGGCGCTACGGTGTAAAATCCTGCCCCTCTCCATTTCGTTGTTGCGTGTTAATTCTGTCAGCCGAAGATCTGTTGATACGGTGGAGGAGCTCCGTTGCTAGCAGAGGAGGGGATCGTGACTTTGTGATAACGGATTTTGTGTTTTTTTTTTATCGCGAGACGGTCGGGTAAGGGTTGTTGATGTGGTTTTTCAAGATTGCAACAAATGAACCAAGTTGTAGGTACACTTGAAGAGTCTCTTGTGAGAATAATAATAACAATAATAAGGATTACTTCTATTGGGGGAAAAATATCGATCTAAAAAAGCGCTGTCAGGTGTGACTGGTTGGGTTGAAAAATAAGAAATACCTATATTCCCCCCAAAAAAATGTTGTTGACTTGTTTTGGAAATATTCGTTTTTAAATTCCATTTTTGTTTCAGTGTGACCGCAATTTTTCTGTAATCAATCGCCAAGTGCAAAACTAAAATAGTTATAATAGTTAAGCTTAACTTTACAAAACAAAGCACATCTTTTTTTCGGTCAAATTTTTACAATGAACCTTCAAAACTCTCCGGAAAGTTACAATGCATCACTTGTTTGTCACCATTTTCCTCCTATACACACTTGGGTCATCAACAACATAGTTACGTTTTGAACCGTGAAAAATCTGCTTTTCCGCGGATTTCTCGGTATAGAAAATAAATATTTCGCATTTTTAGCACCCGCGTTAAATTGTTTTGACTTTCGGCATTCAAGGAAGCACTCGGTACAACTCAAATTGTCCGTATCCACATGCAGCTGAATCTATATTTTTCTCTCGAGCCATAATGCATCGATGCCAATAGTTAATTCCTGCTTCTCTTGTACAGCTACACGAAGGACGTACGCATCTCGATCATTTTGCACTGCGTACGTTCCTTTATTTCTGCAACTTGCTTCTTTTCGCAAATGAATTTGCCTTTGAAGACCACTTCGAGCGCTCCGCCAAATTCCTTATTCACAAAAGGATGATGCGTAAAGATACACATTGTTGGTTGTTGAACAAAAATTGTTAGCACTATTGGCACGATTTATATTACATCATTCGTGAAGCAGTTGAAAACATCATTCTATTACGTGAAAAAAAAAAAAAAAAAAAAAAAAAAAAAAAAAATTGTTGTTTTCGACAGTGATAAATATTGGTAAATGCAAAATTCCAGCCTACGAAATGGGCAATCCGAGTTAATTATCAAATAAATGGTCAAAAAAATCCCTAACGAAAAATCTCACATTCCCACGACAAATTTATCCCGGCAGGCGCTCGCTAAATCTACAAATTTCTCTTCCCCGGCCCTGCTATATGGCTCTACAAAATTTATCACTGCCCAGTCGTCGAGCTAACTCATCATATACCCCACGTATGGCCCTCCCTACCGTGTACACCTATAGCCACAAAAATGCGATTGGTTGTTTAGTCGAAGCTTGTTTTCACACGAATATATATATATATATATATATATATATATATATATATATATATATATATATATATATATTCACGACGCGATATATATATATATACACTCGACGCACGGCAGGGTAACGCTGATGCGCACGATACAACATATACTCGTACACGCGAGTACACCCGGAAGTACGAAGCGGAGAGCGAAGCATGAAATTCATAGTTGCACGCGGCTGCTTTGCGCGTTTCCGTAATAAGGAGGCGCTTGTACGCGTAATAGAGCGACTCGTCGCGATCCGCGTCGCCGAGATGCAACCGGTCTCCCTCTGCGCCTCTGCCAATTCTCTTTTCAAGGAAAATCTACTCAATGTTCGTACAGAGGGGGGACGGCAAATGTGTAGTTTTGTTTATTTATTTATTTTATTTTTTCCTTCAACATGCGCACACGTACGTACAAGTAATATTTTTCTTTGCCTGGCGTATCTCTTTTGCATCCGAAGATGTCGTGATAATCGTGTAGAGAGAGAGAGAGAGAGAGAGAAATCTGATGAATTTTGAGTCACGCGAGATTTAAATAGTTTAGCCGCGAGGCTGGTGCAGGCGGTGGAGTAATGAATTTATTTAAGCCTCGAGAGATTTATTATGATTCTTGTTTGCTGTTTAAGCTAACTACGCTTTGATTATTTATCTCCTTCCTACTCGTGTATACGTACAAGGGTAGGTCATACCTTGGCAAAAAAAAAAACAAAAAAACAAAAAAAAAATCTGTATTAAACCATCATTTTTTTTTTTTTCTTCTCATTTACAACTCGCGATATAGACAATGTCCGAAGTTACATCAGGCAAACCGTGAGGTATATCAAAGCCGCGATCTTCGATAGGGCGTAAAATTTATTATGCAATAGCTCGCGCGGCATTCTTCGAGTAAACAAGACGTATGAATCATCGCAATATCGCCAATAAGCGCGGGGGTATTTTTAGCACCCCGGCAGGCAGCGGTGGCCTAACGTCTTCTGTTTCGCGGGAGTGGGGACTTTACTTTTTCGAGTCAAATTTTTGGTCATTCGTAGAGGAAGGGTGGAGGGATGACAATGTCATTATTATTATTAGTTCTTTTATTTTTATTCAAATTTTATATTAATCATGTTTATACTTTTTTTTTTTTTTTTTTTTTTTTTTTTTTTTTTTTTTTTTTTTTTTTTTTTTTTCTAATTTCCTTGTTAATTACAAATAGCGCTAAGTTAGATATGCAGCTTGAATCTTATAAACTCTGTAAACGGGCTTGCGTGCCCACTATTTCCGCCTCGTGAAAGGCAATGTACATAGCTTTGGCTATTAAGGACTCTGACTCCTTAGCCTGAATAAACTACTCAT